AGTCACTGCTATGAGAAACTGGTGTCGGTCTCCTAACTAAAATTTTAAATTGATGTGAATAACTAAAATGCAAGTTAAAAATTTACAGATTAACTAAATGATGATAGAATGAGAAATAACTGTAAACAAATCCAAAACGAAATAAAATTGGATTTTCTATTTCACACTTTCCCCTTTGGAAGAAGTGATTACATTATTCAGTTTAAAATTAAGTCCTTACTTGTAACGTTATACTGACATACTACACGGTTTAACCAGAGATACAGTATAAGGAGAAACCACTTTCTTATAAATTCGACTATCTTTCGGTTCTAGTTCAGCTCAACGAAGTTAGTTCTAAGACCAGTTACTCTGTAATAATTAAATAACAAATCTTGTACATACTCTTTACCAATATTAATATCTGTACGTCACTGATAGGGGGAAACCGATGTCAGTCTCATAATTCATACAAATTAAAGATTAATGAGATTAGCTAGAAGGTGAGTTAGCGTTTAAGTGTAAATAAAAATCTAGAGCTCAACTAAATGAATAAACGAACTGTAAAGAAATCCATAACAAAATAAAAGAATGTGCTATCTCACACTCCCTTCCGCTTTAGACAAAGAATGTGATATTAAATCACTGCTTATAAATTTCCAATTTTCGTATCCTTATTTTTAAGGCCGTCGTTATACTGAAATCATGAATCCCTCACAGTTAAGTACAGATACTACGACAAATTGTTTATGTTCAAGTCTAAAGATTGGTTTTTAATTTCCTGCTCTGGTTCACCATATAGCGAGTACTTGAGTTTGAAGACCATCTAGGTTGGGCAGATGACACAAATAACTCAAGTCGAAGGATGAAATGTGGACACGTCAAAAGAATTTCATTTCTTTGGAGCTGGGGGGGGGGAAGGCACTCTTCAAGCTTTCTGACGTCATTTTTTTCTACAACGACATAGAACGATGAGCATTTTCTGATATCGAAATAATTAACTTTTCTTCAATTTAGACAAGTAAAATTGTTCTACCATTAAACAGATTTTCTTTAATATAAAAAAAATGAAGTAACATAAATAAGTTTAGACAGTCCATTGTTCTTGGAATAAATTTTAGAATAAGTCAGTTTAATACATTAGATAATTAAGATGTTCTTAATAACAGCATTAGTAAATTAACTACATTTAATTGTGTCCGAAAGATACTAACGGTTGTAAGCCTCTCGCTGTAGCTTTCGATGTATTTCAACTTTGGATATTGTCTGTTTAATATCTGTAAATAGTTCTGTTCGTTCTTCTACGGTTGCAGATGTTGGGTATTTGTAGTTGTTTCCATGAAGTCCTTTGACTACTTATGAAACTAATTGTATAGTTTAGATGTAGTTTATGGATATCTCCGTTGCTAGAACTTTCTACTAGCAAAGAAAAATTCATTATAAACATCAGGATTAATGTTTCTATAAATAAAATGAATTATAAAATACAATATGTACAAAACTACAGTTTATGAATTTGTTAATAATAAGTAATAACAATTACTATCTCGTGACACAACTTACTGAAAATAT